CTGTGGGTCTTGTTGTTTTATAAGTACCAAGAATGTTCGCATCTTTGTATTGCTCCCTTCCTGTCGGTTGATCATGCAATTGTCGGTTAATTAAAAACATACGATACGACAATTCAATGATGGAAGGAATGCTGTGCCCAATTATTATAAAATTATATTCTTCACTGCATTTACCCGGCCACGGGTATCGTGATCGGTTGTAGAGGCTCCGAACTTTGTTCCGCAGATCCGCTTGCCTAGCCCGCGGTAACAAAAGTTTAATAGGATGAATATCTTTCAAGTTTCTTTGAATCTGTTTCCTCGTGAATATCGCGAGCAGACGATATCTATGTATCTACTACGCGCACTAGCTCACGTTCCCGGCATTGCACGAGTTATAATTTTAATTGATTGATCGAGTGGCGGTTACCGTAGCTCCCCGGCGGGGAGTAAGAACTAGAAGTTGCATCAGAAATAAGTTCAGACTGGAAGTACGTATATCGTATTATCTTTTTTAAATTCTGCCGTGCGATAGCTGGACGGCTGTAACGGATACCGCCAACAGTGCTTTTTTAATTTAATATAGTTTTTAAATGAACCGTAGCTATACAATTTTTGAAAAAATTTCAGTGTTCCTTTGCACGATTCAAAAATCTTATCTTCACATCACATTTGTCTGATACAAATTTTTTTAGCAGCAAATATTATCGTGCCCAGCAATTTTCACACGTATCACCATGTCGCTAATTAGAATAAAATCGTACATTTTCAACATGGCGTCAAAGTGGCAGATGTTTCCTTTTTGAAAATTGATTTTCAGCATCTAGTTACTGAAATGTACTGGCAAATTAAATTTACAGATGCATTCTTATGATTGTATTTTCATGACTTCATAATTATTTTTTCCAAAGATCCCTTTCATTCCAAAAATAAATCATTAATCATGTTTTTTGCATCGTTTGCAAGGTCGCGTAGTATCTGTTACACTTCTACACGATAAAAAAAGTCTAAGCAACATGTGATATATGCTTAAATTATTTACGAAAATGATTATTTTTTATAAGCTTTATTTTTCTGTTTGATATTGAATGCAAACTTTTTTTATCTCAATATGTATTTGTATTGAGAGTTACAACTATTTTAACTATGATAAGTTTCATTGACAAGACTATCTTATGTAGCGAATGCATTTAACAAGGGATGCGATGTATAGACCGGTAGGAATGCTGCAATTGAAAGCAATCAAGGTGGCGCGAGCTTTTGGTGTACTTCGTTGTGTAATAAACAGTCTTTGGCGCAGTTACACCGGTACTTCCCCTCAAAACAGTATCCGGAGGAAGGAGTGCCATTTCTCGGCAAGATCGTTTTACATAACTCACCAAAACACACGAATCCTATTTAAAATTCAAATTACAATATCTTTATTCCAAAGCCACTGACATGAGAAAATTGGCGACAGGAACTCAGCGGAACTTTCGTTTAGCGTATTTTGACAAAAAATAATAATCATTTATACAATATATTAAATTCCACTTGAAAGAGCCTGAAGCAATCAATTCATTTCCAGAGTGTGTTATCATTCATAATCACTAATACGAGATAAGACACTTGAGATGACCGCTCCAGAAATAGTTCTAAGGCTTAAAACTCGACTGTCGTAGATGTTAGCCCGCAAACTTTGCGAAATAGACTGCAAGCGTACGACCTTCACGCATGATGAGGTACTCACCCATCCGTCATGTAAATCCAGGTCACCGAGAAGCATGGTTCAGGTTGCACTTACACTTGTGGCCATTGGGATGGATGGGATAAAATTATATTTTGTAACGAGCCCCGATTTGGAATTAGAACATTTTGGAATTGTTTGTATCAATAAATTAAATAACGATATTTTTTGACAGCGTTAGCTTATTAATTACAAAAAAAAAACGCGTGCAACTTATTTTATTTATAATAATGAGTGTATTATATGGATAGATTTTCTATAATTATTTGGAATTACAGTATTCTTCTAAAGTTATGTCTTTTGTACATAATTAAATTTGAATAATACATTTCATTTGTAATTTATTGATGCTACGATATGACTACTTACTTGCTATACCATCTGTTGGTAAATGATGTAACAGCCGTAGAGGGTAAACACTTTAGCTAAGTACACCAATTGACTCCCAATTTCAACATGCTGGACAGTAAATCTGACAGCTATGAAATAAAAAATTAATTGCTACATCTGCCACACTTCCTGTAGAGTCTTGTTTCGACTAACAGGTGACTTCATAATATTTTTAATAAAAAAATAATTGACTATTGACTAATTACCTAATCGCCGATTAAAACATTTGTAAGCGACCTGTGAAAACGACCGCTGGAAGACCACCGCCTATATTCGTAGCGTGCGTAGTAACGTAGCATCTTAACGCATAACTCATAACGCATCTTCGTAGGCACATCTCAGCATCAGCGTTGCCGGATGTCATCGATTTGTGGCGTCGATGACATAAAATGGAAACGGAAGATTTGAATTGCAAACGGTTCCGATTCCCAAAGGGCTAACGAATCGATAGGATTGTTCGAACTGTAACAGCGCGGGTAGGAAAATTTTAATTCAACGACACGATTTCCTATGATTGCACAAACTTCTGAGTCGAATCTCAGTCGAAACGATTTCAGGCGTTTCCAAAGCGTTAGGAGCGTCAAAGATAAGTTTTAATTATAGCCTGACATTGTTGGTAGCATTAAATGGACGATCATGACGACTTTCAATAAATACAAAGTCTTGTCTTATGTCTGAATATCAAAATGCAGGTCATACTTTTTACCCTAAAACTATTTACAAAAGAGTGCAAATGTATAAAATAGTAAATAGTATGTTACGAAAGAGCGAGTAGTTAACACATTTCGGTTTCCTTCTACCCGCATGCTCCACGTATTCGCTTCTTTAACTCACGTATTACATGGATTTTAAGTTTTTTATTTCATCATCATCTGGATGATGATATGATGAATTATTATGATGAATTATAATTCCTTTTCCTATTTTACATTAGATTTTCCACTTACCGGCACTAGTGAGTTATGTAAATTTTGTAAACAAACCTGAACTAGAATAGAATGACATATCCCGGGCAATTTTAAATCCGATTGTAAATGTGTATTGATTTAGTGACGTACGGATCGACAGCTGCCGATCTTAGGACAGTCATGTCCGTCTTCGGCCCAGGGACAAGGGAATTCGATTAGCCGGCCAATAATTGGGATGGCCAACTTGCGCCTAGTCAATTTAAACCGGTCACCTAACTAACCTGCGTATAGGTGATCCTTGATTGCATTTACATGGCGTGCACGGCGCGCACAGAATGTAGTCAATATTGTGATGTAAAATTTGAGTATCGAATTCTAAATCTAATTAAATATGGTACATATTAGCTGTTTTACGTAGATAATTATTGTTTTACCAATCGGTTTCTACTTTGTAACTGTATTGACACGGTGTCGTGTTTCACTTGTATGAACTAAAAAAAAAAACTACGGTTTTTCAAGCCTGTTGTTATTAAGCCCCTAAAGCGTGGGAAATGAACGTTATGCCCTCCTGGTCTATAAGGGCGTCGTTCATACTGTACTTTTTTATGTTAAACATCTATTGGCGTACGGCAGTAAAATCGGCTGGTTTGCCGTCACTGCAAACGACATGACGCGCTGATGCCATCATGCCCCCTTCCAAGTCGCCGCTTAAGACTCCCTTTGTGTGCGTGCCCGCATATACACACGTGGTTTCTTTGTATAAGCTGCGTACTATTTTTATCGGACTATAGTATACTTAACACGTTTACTGCTCGTACTATTACATAGTACCTGGAGGACCGGTACGGTTTTTTTTGTAAATCGTGTATTTTGGAAATTACATTCAGATACCAATTACTGAGTAATACAATATGCATAATATTTTTCGATCTTACCGACCTAATAATAAGAAAATATTAAGTGGTGTTTTTCACAAAAGAAACAAATTCAAATCATCATATCATCTGGATCAACAAAAAATAAAGAAAGCAATGATCTGGAATAGAAAAAAAAGTAAAAAAAAAGAGTTTGTAAATGATCGTGACACGAACCACGGCCATCTGTTTTGGGGCCACCCGATTACCGATCTAGCCATTATAACATTTTCTTTTGCGGCAAAATTTACCGTCATATTCGAATGATATTTTTCATTCCCTGAAAACAGGAATAAAAGGACATTTTCTAAAAATGAACCCTAGCTAGATCGATTTTTCGCCCCCGAATCTACGCACATACTAAATTTCATGAAAATCGCTGGAGTCGTCTCCGAGATTCCGATTATATATACAGCGTGTCGTTACCATCGCGACAATAAATGAACACACGTCTAATGCTACTTGCCAATAATCATAAAAAAATATTAACGTTAAACAAAATCCCTAATTAAAAAAAAATATTTTTCAAACAAACTAATTAAGTAAAAAAGAAACAAAATTTGTAACATCCTATGCAACTCGCGCCACAGCGTCGTATTACAAGCCTCTCCTTCTAACAGTATGTTTTGTCTCTTTTAAATTCATTCAACCCATTCATATGCTTTGTGACCTTTACAAATGAACTTCACGTTACGCTTTTTTATAGGTAAGGGTGTTCTAAAATTCTTTGTTTTGGAAAATTTAATAACTCTGTAAATATTGATGTTTAAAGAATTTTTAAATGTTTAATACAACTTTAAAAAGTTATCCCCTATATGTATGTTCATTTATTGTCGCGATTGTAACGACACGCTGTATATATACAAGAATTGCTCGTTTAAAGGATAAGATTGTATTTTCTTTCTTAAGATCGAATATTAATTGAAGTAATTAAAAAAATTCGAATCATTGATATTATTATTAAAAAAAATATGAGTGACAGTGATGACCAAGTGAACTTCTCCAGGTCTTATAATAATTGTAATGTTTCACATCTGCCGGGCGTCCCGTGGCGGCCTATTTTTTTCTTTTAAATGACTACTATAAATTAATCTGCATTAGGCACCGAAGAGAATTCCACGTTGAGCCATCTACGGCAGCGGAGCGCCGAGGCTGAGCAGTGTAGCAGAGAACCAGAGCACCGGCGGAGCGGCGGAGCAGCGGAGCAGTGCAGAGGGAAGGCAGCGTAGCAGCGTAGCGGTGCAGCGGGAAGGCAGCGTAGCAGCGTAGCTGTGCAGCAGGAAGGCAGCGTAGCAGCCAGCAACGGTGCGACGACGCTTTCAGTGGTGGTACTGAAAGGTGCTGCACCGTGGCGGGTCGATCGAGATCAATCACGCCGTCAATCCGGAAGCCTAATAACCTACCGGAAGATATATCATTACTCAGGTAATCACATTACCCTTAATTTCATCAATCTAATTGTGTTTTATGATATTATTTTTATCGTCTTAATATATTTTACCATTTTGTATGTTCTAGAGTATTAAAGGTTAGGTTATTAAGTTATTTTCGATGTAATTAAACCGAAGACCTAAATCGTTAAAAAGCATACATCACAAGATACGGGATTACGTAGTCAACATAAGAATAAACTAATGTGCGAGTATCTTACTCTACATAAGTCAAAATCCCGTCCACGATTGAGATTCACTACAGTGATTGCTTGACCAGATTTTCTTGCTGGAAATCGATTGTCTTAGCCGCAAATATCCGTCGAAAACGGGACGAGGCGCACACCGCTAACCGGCCAAAACGGTCTCTGCCTCATTGCGAATTAATGGGCTTCACGAATACAATCCTATGCGCTCGAGATGTAATATTGAACGTCCCACGTATAACGTATATCTGCGATACGTTAATCGTGTTTCATGTGATTTGAGGTAAACATTAGTACCAATATATTTTACAAGATCAGTTAGAAATAAACATATGTCATTCCATAACTATTTACGGATATGCTAATATTATTTTACATTAATATATGTCCCGAACTCTGCATATGCAGTGTTACGATTCGTGCTGTGGTAGGGCCGCGCACCAGTCTTCTGTGTTGCACGAATAGACAGAAGTACCTCGATTTCAGAAGATGAGGCTCTGTCACGGCATTAAGCGGAACTGTAATACTTCTGCGTGGCAACGTATGTGCATCCCTTCATACATACAATATGAGGTGCATACATACAAACAATAGGTAATCCTCCAGCTCGTTTGCTGCCTTAAATACATAAAAAAGCAGTTTATATAATACACGTCAGATTGATCTATATAATTTTGATAACTGGTAAATTATTCTAGCTAGCACAGAATGTATTTATTTTTACATGAAATGTGGCGTCGACAGTAGTTGACGGCAATCGAGCTACTGACGGACAGATCGTTTGATAACTAGAAAGCGATCGTTTGTGACACTACATTCGAGATTGACGTCCGGCCCGGTCGGCGTAGCGCGTAGCCCGTGGCCGTGGCCAGTGATTGGACGCGCGCCGGCCAGTTCAAATATTACACAGGCGGCGTTGAGAATTATTAATTCCGGCCCGGTCCGCCGGCCGCCTCTCGCATTTGAATGAGAGATTTCAGATGGTCCGTCAATCGTGGCCCATCATAATTGATCGTATTAATTTTCGAATCGCCCAGCGCCGCTCGCGTTAGACTAAAGCGCCCGCTTTCGATTAGGCCACATACCTTTCCTATTCCCATTGCTGTGCTCAAACGGACTACGAAATTGCACTCGTGTAATTGTTAAACGTTTCTATACGTTTAATTTATATTGTTTGCGTTGCGTTTCGTTATGTGTCGACTACACTACTAGAGGAGCTTGATGTGAATTTACGATCAAATTGAGTTTGTTTTAACGGTATGCAATTTGAAGGACACAATAATTGTGTTATTTTTAGGTTTCCGCACCCAAAGGGTAAAACGGGACCCTATTAATAAGACTCCGCTGTCTGTCTGTCTGTCTGTCCATCCGTCCGTCCGTCTGTCCGTCCGTCTGTCAGGTGGCTGTATCACATGAACCGTGATAACTATCATGTCTAACTAGACAGTTGAAATTTTCACAGATGATGTATTTCTGTTGCCGCTATAACAACAAATATAAAAAACAGAAGAAAAAAATATTTAAGTAGGGCTCCCATCATCATCATCGTCATCATCAGCCGCAAGACGTCCACTGTTGAACATAGGCATCCCCCTTAGAACGCCACAACGAACGACACTTTGCCATTTGCATCCACCGGTTCCCCGCGACTATTATGATGTCGTGGGTCCACCTAGAGGGAGGCCTTCCAACGCTACGTCTTCCAGTTCCTAGTCGCCACTCGAGAACCTCTATTCCCCATCGGCCATCAGACAATCGGGCTCCCATACAACAGACATAATTTTTATGCCGTTTTTATAGATGGTATATATAATGGTACGGAATTCGTGCGTGAGTCCGACTCGCACTTGGCCGGTTTTTTATCTTAACTTCCTTTAAGCGTAGGCGTAGGCGTATTTAGTTGGTATATTAGTCAGTAATATTCTGTGTTGGCTGATTCATTACGTCGCGTAATTCAATGGTTAATAGCAGTTCATTGTCTCATTAAATAACTTTTGCCTTTCATTGACCATTTCCTGGACGGCCCTCTGTAAGCAAATTATTCAATGCCGTTTAATGCTCGTTGTAAAAATGTTACTATACTTTAAATTTTAAATTGTTGCGAACAAAACGTATCGTAATTTCAGTGGTCTAACGCGTTTTTTTAACGTTTACCACGACTTGTAAATTGTGGTAGTGTAGACATTTTAATGCAGATGCTTTACCCTCCGTTTTTTTTGAAGGTGAAAACTTTTAACGGTTTTAGTTTTAAAATTTGATACCTTTCGAAATGTGCGCTCCTAAAAAGCAATAGGATGTACCCCCCATTGACCAGGACGCGAAATTAATGTTTACGCAGTTGAGACTACTCTGTTATTTCTGCGATTTTAATGGCCGCACTTTCAAATGCCCACACGAACATTGTTCGCGGGCTAGCAACGTAATGGGGCTGTACTTTTGTCTTCATTATGACAAAATTAGTAACCGGAACAGTCAGGTTCAGTTCTTTTAAATTATATTCAATTTATTTAGATTGTGCAACAATTACAACGGAACACACGCAATGATTAATTTAACGATTAGTTGTTACGAAAGCGTCCATGTAATTCAGGTTCCGCTTTGTAGTGACGTTAATAATACTTCACTTGCCGTCGTTAGATGGTGCTAGTGGTTACTTGTTGTTTAAAATCGGAATTGCCTATTTCTAATTCACAATTTTTAGTAGAGTCCATTTTTGTTTGGACGTTTCCGCTCTATGCTCGTTATGGCCAGTTGAATGTAACATAATCATCACGATACCTCGCCCTAAGTGCGTAGGTACGTTCTGACGATCCTTTTAGAGTTTTAACTGTCTTCTGCCATTCAATGCCTCAGCGAGTGACCGTTAATCGACACCGGAAACTCACTTCTCCATACGTCAAGCAAACGTAGCCATATCTTCGCACTCGCTAATTGACATCAAAGCGTACTAAGCAGCCGTCGCAAATAATCGTATATAGGCGATTTAACGCCGCGTACGAACGTAGCCTTAGCGCTCACCCATCAACGTCACATAAAGCAAGCGGGGAACACTAAGATACTGCCCACGGCGTGACGTTAAACACAATACGAGCCGCTAAAGAGAAATTACAGACACACGTGTCGCGGCAACGCGTTATGTTTAATTACTGTGCGCGCCATTATTAATAATACGTCACGATTGCACGACGGACGCGGGTACACTCCCGCACGGTATTAATTACTGTACAGTCTAGAGTCGTTAACGTTCTCCCAAACATAAGCAGAAGTCAAATACGGCATAGCACAGTGAAGATAAGACAAGAGGTGTTGTATTGGTCTTGGATTTGAAAGTTTAATTTAAAAAATATATTTACATTTTAAATGGAACAACTCACAATAAATTACATAATATGGAACTTGACTTACGTGCTTAACGTTATTACCGACAAATTTACAAAGTTCGGAGTTTAAGAGGTATTAACTCCAGCTTCCAGGTACCTAACTTTTCCTACTGGTAGTTTTAACTTATTGTATCCTTCCAGAATGTATCTTCCAAATGCGTAGACAACCGCGTTGCACTGACCTCACGACGATGAACTATTTTTGCGCGTATTTCATTGACGTCGCAACATGTCAATCGCGATCTCGAATTAAAAAAAAAAATGCTCATAAAGGCCTCACGCTCTTAGAAATCTCAGCGTCTATGACGACACCCAATTAAATTGTCCGTTTCATTAATGCGTCCCGGCATTAGCGAATGCAGTTGGTGCCATTCTATGTCTAACTAAATTTATGATCACGGGTTATTGCGACGTTGTTATTGTATGCATCATAATTGAAAAATTACACGTTCCCATCTATAATCATGGTATAATTATGCCCCTGAATACCATGCGACTGCATAAAAGGTTCAAACGCAAACCGGCGCCCACCACCACCGGTGTATGACGTGACTTCTTAATATCTATATTTATTAATACGTAAAGTAAAAACTTTGTACCCCTTTTGACGGAAATTGCGCGGACGGAAGAGTATGAAATTTCTAAAACTCATAGTTGACATAGAGGAGTGCAGAATGCTAATATTTAAATTATGCATAAAAGATACATTATATAAATTAAAAAATATAATAAATGTAAATAAAATAAATACGACTTTAAATTATTAGAATTAAACTAACAGACCTGAAAGCTGACATCACTTTAAAAAGAAATTAGTGAAATTAGGTCTAAAATAGTCATTTTAGGCACACTATACCTAAAATGATTTTAACAAATCGAGAGGAAACAATTTTAGTTGTTCATTTTATTTACACATTTTCAATTAAAACTCGGTTTCGGTAATAATGTTTCGGTTACGTTGGAGTTAACTCCTTAAGAAAGGTTTCATTAAAAGCCTCGCCGTGTGAACATTTGATGAGTAGTAAAAATTACTACCAAGAATCTTCCTTTTTCATTCAATATGCTCGAGCAATCCGAGTGCAAACCCTGGCGCCGGCACCAAGTAAATTTCAATTTGTTACTAACAAAGTGAACAAAGTGCTGACATATCACGTGATCAACGGTGAAAGAAAACGTCTTGAGATAGGTTTCTTTGCGTGCAAATGTATATTTTCGAAATTCGCTGTGACTTCGGTGGTGTTTGCCCACCGGTGGTATATTAATAGGCTTTTATACTTTTATGTATATATACTAAATAAAAATAACGAAGTAATTATAAAATTAACACAAGCATTAAAATAAAAATGCTATCCATGTGGATGAGCCTCCAACAGTTTCTATTATTAACGCACAGTGAAGTACAAGTATTCATATATATTATTGAGTTTATTACGTCAGTGAAGTACAAGTATTCATATATATTATTGAGTTTATTACGTCAACAGATACCCACTTTTAAGAGGATGGAAACATAACTGTCGCCCTACTGGTATTGTAGATTTGCATTGGCGGCGGTAAACATTAAAACAGGAGAACCTCTCTCGGTGGTAGGGCCACGCAGCAGTATTCGCTGTTGCACGAATGGGTAGGTCCGTTCGGGTCAGTACCACGACCTCACAGAAGACCGGCGTAAAGTAGAAGTGTTTCACTTCTGCGTTTCGTCTGGTGAGTGAGGTAGCCGGGGCCCACATTATTAAGAGGTGGCAACGCATCTGCAACCCTACGTGTGTTGCAAATGTCCATGGGCAGGCGGTTATCACTTAACATCAGGTGAACCGCCAGCTCGTTTGCCACATTCTCACATAAAAAAAAAAAAACCATCTGCTCTTTTAACTTCTACCACTGTTTGTTAACAAACTATAAAGACGTTAACGATCCAAAGTGGCTCTTGCGGCTCACTCGTGATTTCACCACCAGCGAAACACGACTACATTATATAGTTCAAGTAAAAGTAAAATACGGTTGTGTCTTATAACTTAGAATATGTCATACGATACGTGTATAGCAGTCTATGATCGACTGTTCCTAACAATTAATGGAGAAAAGTGCACACTTTCGCCCCTCAACACAATGACTTTAATTAGAAACTGCGCCTCACAAGTCGCAAGCGATGGGACGCGCAGTTGCGCTCGACTGTACGTAAGGTTGCGAATTACCTACAGCCAGCAAGTATTTGAACATAGTATAAAATTACCCCACAAATGATTAGATCCCATTGAGCCGGGTTAATTATAAACTCTTCGCTCACAATTATTCCGGATGTTGCTTTATATTCATGTCCCGTGGTACTATAAAATATGGTCGTAACATCTAAAATATCAATGCTAATACCATTTTATAGTAACATGGTTAGAAAGTTTTTTTTTAGATTTTGCATTTCGATGGACTGTGTGGAGGGGTCAGTATTGAGATGACGGCTGATAGAGGAAAGTGGAAGGAAAGAACATGTTGTGATGACACCACCTGGTTTGGGATAAGGGCAGGAGAAATAAGGAGTTTTTGCAAGTAAGTGAAAAAGTAAAGCCTATATAATATGTCCCACTGCTGGGCAATGGCGTCCTATACAGTGAGTATAGGGCCTAGTCCACCACGTGACCCCGCTGCGGATTGGCGGACTTAAAATGTCTTCGAAGTATATTTTTGTTGCTATTTAGAAAATATGCAGATTTTATTACGGTGTTTTCCTTCGCCGCTGAGCACGTGGTGTCAGCATTAAAAATTAACAATATCATTGCTTCCTGCACCGAGGATTGATCTCGTGTTGCTTGAGTATATTGAATTGAAAGCGAGCGCCCGGACAATGAGCTATCGCTACTGTTTTCTGCAAGTCCCTAGGATATTTTTTGCGTTCGTAATTGTTAGTTTCCATCTAAAGATTTGTCGCCTTATGTATCCAGGGGAGCTAGCAATGACGTCAAGCTACCGCAATTACTACTTACTTTCACTTTCTGTCCCCCCGTCGGAGGTCAAAGGATGCAAGAGCTTTTGTGTTACAAAGGTTTGCAGCTCGTGGGTTATTTAGTTACTGTGGCGAGCTTTGTAACATTTCCTTCACGAGCAATTAGGGATGCCGTTCCACATTCTATCAAGCTTTGTAATTAGTAGCTTAAGTGCTAAACAATAAATCAGTTAAGCAGAGTTAAGCTTTGTTTAAAAAGTGTTGTATTTAAAGTTGATGGAAATAAAACATAAAAATTATATCATAAAGACAACCGTAGAAGTACGTATGTACGCAAGCCCGAGCCAATTTCTCATGATGTATTAAATAATTTTTAAAAATACTTCATTTCGAGTCTATTTTTATTGTTAATATTACTAAATATTTGTTTCAGCCCTTTAAAACGTGTAGTCAAACGAAAATTGAAGATTGATAAATCAAATATTAACTGCATGACGTGAAAAATTTTCTATCTCATTCCAAAGCGATAAATACAAAGTGTCACTCGTGAAGAAGTCTTCTGAGAGTTGCATTTAAATGAATACTATAATGGGTTTTACAAAACTCAAAGTAACATACAACATAGACAAAACACTTGTTTATGTTGTACAGAAATGAGAAAATAAACTGTAACGATAATGCTGCTCAATAAGAGCATCTCTATGGTGATCCCGGAAGACGAATAAAATCAAATTCGAGCCCATTTGAATATGACGCAGCAACTATTTAATGTTTTCTCCTAAAAGTATGGACGAAGAAAAAAAACACTACACAGAAAAACTATGAAAAAACACTACACAGAAAAACTAAAATTGACACTAGCTAAGTGAGCGTTAGCGCATTAATTTTATAAAATGAATTAAATTATCTCTCTAATCAAGAAATTGTTTAAATAAAATGAACGATGTATATACGATATGTACAACATTGAGTGGAAGAATTCAAACGCGGATGTGGCCGGCCTATAACATTTACAATTGCAGAAATACTTTTGCAAAGTGTGTGGTCTCCTATTTGAAGACCGGAATTGATTATCCAGGCGATTGCTGACACTATAAGCATATCGCAATAGCCAACAAAAAACATTATTGTCAATGACTTTGGATTTTCTTAAGTTTCAGCACGGTGCTTTCCCAGTTTGTTGTTCAGTGGAGCTCACAATTACTTGAGACTTTTTGTACATGTTTGAAGCTGATCTACAATCTATTTTTAGCATATGTAGCAGTTTTGGACATATGTAGTTTTTAATAAGCATTTTCATGGTTTTTCACAATTTTCTAAAATCTAAACACTCATGCAAGCAACGGAAAAAGTCTTCGACTCTAAACAAAACACAAGCAATGTTGTCGAATATTGAACAAATTCAGCAACAGTTTTTTTGGGATGCTAAGACTGTCAACGTCGTCAACTACCTTGCCAGGATCGAATCAATAAATATGGCGTATTATCGACACGTTTTAAATCGTTTAAATGATAATAAAAGTATATATTTGTGATATGTTATTTCATTAGAATGATGCGCACATGTATGATCTG